ATTATTATTTATAGCACAATTTTAGTTTGCATTAAATATAAAAATATAAAAAAATTCGTCTAATTAGATATTCCGCTGATCTATATAATGATATATAATTTATGATCATGATGATAAATATGCAGCAGCATTTATATATATCTCTCATTTACATATAGAAATAATTGAGATATTGGGTTTAATTATATAATATACTAGTATAATTGGGTGTGCTGTATTGCAATATATTGAGAGAACATAATACTTACATTGTGCAACAAAATATTATAACATAGTAATAAAATATTATAACATTATTGCATATGTTATAAAAGTACCAGGTTTGCGGATTAACGCCGTGTTTTTGTCCATTACTGCCTATTTACATAAAGGGAGTTTTCTGGAGGAGCAGCTCAGTGTGCTCCTCTCCCTGATAAAATGAACGAAAAGATTCACGAAACATTGATATTAATAATAGACAAAAACACGACGATAATCCGCAAACCTTCTGGTATCTTTAAAGATGACAGCTGTAAAAGCCTAAAAAGCGTTATTGCGTATGTGTAATATACATATATTATCTGGAGACACTGGTAATGTCTCGGCGCTAAGCATGACGCGAGACACGGACGCTTCTTTTACGCGAACCGGCGATAGTATATACATACAGATTATACAGAATCTGGTATCTTAAAAAGATATTTCCATCTAGAGAGAAATTAACTTGCATCATTTTTTTTAAAAACATTTTTGTTCTTTATGTTTTTGACTTCAATATCTTGATTTCTATCGTTTTTAAGATGTACAACAAATGTTATGTTATATCAAATATTCTAATATATAACAACCGCGATTAATATGGAAAGACTTTTACTTTTTATCCATTAAAGGATTTCTCTCATCTTTTAAGCGTTTGAAAAAAGTTTAAAGCTACATATTCGCGCATCTGTCTCCTATAATTTTTCAATTATATAAAATGGCGAATTCGGCACTGACTTTGCTTTGATGTTGCTCTGACATGATGCAGAACCACTTTGGTGCCAAACTATACTGTTAGAAACGTCAGTGCAAAATTTCTTGAATTTGTTCATTCGATTGGTCCAAATATAAATTCAGCACTACACTGGATCAGTTATCATTTGCTGAATACAATCTGAACGCACTGATACAGTGTGTACAAGCCGAATGCGTGGCATTGAAAAAGTTTGCACCGTTTGCACTTAGTATGCACTAGTACAGTCTGCCGAATTCACTAAAAGACAAACGAGTGTAATATTAATTGCACATGTTCAATTGGACATCAGCTAATCACAGCGCTAAAAAAAAAACTTCCCGGTGAAAGTCGCTGTGATTGGCAGTGGACAATTGCAATTAAATCGCGGCTGACAGAAACTACTTATATCCCAAATTTCTATAAACTTATTATACATGTGTATTCCCTACACTATCAATTATATAATTATAGTACAATCATCGCGTTACATGCTTCAAAAAATTTACATCGCGTCATTAATTACATTTGTTATATTACAAGCTATATATATTTTTGTACAAATAACAGAGATAAGAAAGTAGAATTATGCTCTTATTAAAATAGTACTGTCAATTAATAAAAATCATAGATAGATTTGTGCAGCCTTGCTCGTAATAACGTATACATCTTATATAATATCTGAATGTTTGTGTATAATAAAAAAGAATAAATGCTTAGAGCAAAAAGAAATATTTACTACTATATAGAACTACTTGCTAATTGAATTACTTTAGATCAACATGAATATTTTTTTTAGTTCGTGTCGTTCCGTTGTTAATTCTTTTATTATCATATTACAATATATATATATATATATATATATATATATATATATATATATATATAAAAGATAGAAAATAAAAA